AGACATAATCAAACCGCGTAACGAACTATTTTTGACTTTTTTGTAACATCTGCATTAGACACATCAGCACTAACATAAGAGCGCAAGTCAAACAGTAATTCGGTAAGATGTGGTTATGTAGCCCCGCCTGATGGACACAATACTGCTAGAGTCAAGCTTAGATGTTATGGTTAACGGCTAGGGTTAGGGACTAAGTTAGGGGTTAGGGTTAAAGTTTAAGGACCAGGGCAACTATTTCTCAACCACTCAAAGTACAACTGCGCATTTCCAGAAGCTTTTACTTTGCATAAAACTACTTGACCTCGTCGCCCACCGGTAAAAAGCCCTATTACCACTGATACCGTATTACGGGTTGCAGACACCCGCGAGAGGGCCGGCATTGTGACAAGTGGATTGACGTGTAAGAGCGTGCAAGAGACTGGACAAGCAATTTCCACAACCTGTCTCTCCAGGCAAGCCCTTCTGTCTGTGTCTGCTGTTGAGGTTATTAGCCCCTCGGCGCGTGTGCACCTTTTTTATGTCTCAGGCAATGCCAATCGGAGGAAGGGCAGCGTTGATTGGCTTCGAGCTCTTACGAAGCTAGCGACTTGCCTTGCGCGGTTCCGGCAGCGAGTCGACAGGGAGCGTGAGGCAGACAGAGGGGCTGGTAGACAAAGCGGTAAGGAAGTGCGGACTGTTACAGTACAACCTATTGCCCGTGGGCCAAGGCAAACACCTTTTAATAGGACACGGTGGTGAATGGTAGGGGGCGCTCACCGATCGTTCTTACGGAACTCACTCGTTCCATTGTGCCTTACGGTCTCTCTCTCGAGCCCAACCAGCAGCCGCACAGCGGCGCATGCTATAGGCAGAAGGCGTATTACCGACAAAGACAAGGGAGACTGGAATGGCCATTTCTGGCTTATAAGCCGTCGTCAGCCAGCCCTACCCAACCCCGGAGTGTGGAACAACCGAGGTTCGAACTCGCGACCTGTTAGTTAGAAGTCCACGCCTCCAACCCCTTGTAACTAACAGGTCGCGAGTTCGAGCCTCGGGTGTTTCACACTTCGGGGTTGGGTATGCCTGGCTGACGACGGCTAACAAGCCAGAAATGGCCATTCCAGTCTCCCTTGTCTTTGTCGGTGATAACATAAAGTGGTTAATATCCCCCGTACGACAGGTGATCCTAGCCTAAATTCGAGGGGGTAGGGTTTGGGGTTTACGCCAGTGTTAGAGATACGGGAGTTAGTGTTAGGGTTGATCCAAGTCAGGACACAGCTATAAGTACCCCCCTGGAATCCTCGTAGTACGGGGAGTACTCATACTCGTGTCGAACCCACCCGTTGTTCAACCGACATTCGGAGTTTTCACACGATCCAGTGGTCGAAATATGAAATCTTGAACCAGGTGGGAGGTAGTCATTTGGGGGAAGGATTTAAGGCGAAATTGTAAACTTTTCGTCCTTGACTGACTGCTTTACGGACGATATTTACTTTTTTGCCTGGGCATACAAAAGTTTGTTGTCCATTTTGATTATGGGAAAAATGGGCATTTCCCCTTCGAACTTTAGATCGGGATTTAGATATGGCTCAACAGGGCAGGGGCCCGTAGGACAGGTGGAAGAGTCTTTCATTTGACAACGTTCATTAGTCAACTGCCCGACTTTAAATCACAGACTCCCGGTAGGGTGCCAAGTTAGAACCAGATGATAATGCTCACTAAGCCAGAAATGGCAACTGTAACGTTTTCTGTCTTTGTCGTGACTCATCGTAACTGTGGACAAGCGCCTTTTACATAAAAGGTCGTCAAAAATGTAAAGGGTGTAATAAAGTGCGATTCACCTACCCGAAGTAAGTCTGGCAAAACGGGATTCTGACTTGCTTTATCGTGCACGAACTAGAGCGCACTCGATTGTTGAGTGGTCTAGAACGTTTTCCAGGGTTTCGGCGCTTTATTCTCGGATGAAGAGCCCTCAATAAGGCTGCAGTGGCTTTAAATAGTCGTCCGCGACTCACCTGTTTTTATCGTAGACCGACAACCATCAAGGGCTTCTTCTGTGTCGCAGCGAAAATTTGTCTCTTTGATACGTAAGTTAAAGGCGCAGAAAAGGAGAAACAACTAACATTTTCAAAATTCGGACGCAGTCAAAGGTAATAAGTACTACTTTTTTGCAGACGACCTTGGAAGAAACGAGGGAGGGGCACACACTTACGAACATTTGGAAAAAGTGCTCTCGTTACGAGACAGACCTACTTAATGTGCACACAAAAGCAATATGACATTCTTATCCTACTGACCGCAAGCTAGTTTCTAAGAAGGCAAACCAGGGGGTACAGAAGGTACTCAAATTCTCATAGATACCGTCTGTAAATGCTTTGATCGCTTGTAATAAATGGTAAGATGTTGACTGACGGTGTAGCGTTAAACTAAAACGTCCGAGAGTAAGATGGGTGTGCTCAGTCAACCAGCCACTCTTTTACCAGCCCGATTCAACCCTCGCTGCACTTCGGGCAACAAAATCTGAGACACGGCGGCTCGATTTTAACAGCGACAGTGAACACCCTCACTGTCAGCGCCGAAGCGCACTTGTCAAACCCTATTCGAGGACTGGCATATTTACTCCTTCTTTGCCTTTAAAGCCCCTTTTAAGTCTGCCACAGGAATTCGTATGGCGATTAACGGGCGCCCGTAGGAAAGGAAGGAAGCATGGAATTTGACTTCCATAAGGGTAAACATGCCTGTCTGTAACTGCCGATCGAAGTAGCCTACCTTCTTCCGCCGTCGTTTATTCATTAACCTTGTATCGTCTGTTTCAGTTACCCAGACAGGACTGCTTTTTCCGGAAAACGTTGCCAACTCATGTTAACTCCTGCATGTTAACTGATGACGCCAGAATGTGAGAATATGAGTTTACACCTTCCCAGACAAGTTTTAAAGGTTTCATTTAATGGGCGAATTGGTTGAGCAGCAGTCCTGTAAAAGAGGGTAGATGTGAATCTGTATCAGCTGAGAACAACTGGTGCGTTTGTCGAGAAGCATGTTTTAAAACTTTCGAAACCCCCAACTCGACTATTTTTGCAGTATGAAAAAGTCCGGTGAATGGTATCGTAGCAGATTAGATTTTTCTGGTATGCTTATGAACATAGTCTTTGAACTCGGAAAAGGCCGCCAATACAGGGAAAGTCCCCATTGCCTTTATAGAAAGATAATCATGCATTGACAGGTGAGTGTCGCTCACCTATCCAGTTACAGCTCCGAACCTGCTTGTCCTATTGTGCCTTGGAGAGTAAACTGTGGTCCTTGTAGGTGGTACTTTCCTGCTTATTAGCCGTCATCCGTCGTCTATGTTCCAAATCCAAGCTTGGATAAACGGGGGACCGAAAGTGAATTCTCGGTAGGGTCGACTTATGTGGCCCCTTAAACAGGACGTGAGAACAGAAATCGCCTACAATGCGGGTGGCTTTGGGCCAGCTTCCGATGAAATTAGGATTACTTTTAAAGTTAGGGTTAAGTTAAGGATTACGTTTAGAGCTAGATTAAAAGTTAAAGCTAACGTAGGTCGCGATCAAGTCTAGGGGGGTTAGTGTTAACTGCAGTGTTAAGGTTCAGACTTGTAATTGTACTTGATAAGGCTGAGATCATGCCTGATCTAGCCGGCCTCGATGATGTTACGAACTGTACCTCTCCAAGCGTGAAGATGTTGTCGCGGCGAGCGCGAACTATCTCATTTGAGACGAGGTCAGTGAACTTCACTCGAAGGATGGTCCTCAAGCAGTGATGATCAAATATCTCCAGTTTTCTTTCGTTCTCCACTCGCAAAGCCCAGCATTCACAAACGTAGAGAAGGACAGACCGGACAGATGCACGGTACACGCGAATCTCAGTGGAGATCGAGAGGTCACGTCGCATCCATAGACGATGTCGTCCTTATTCTGTCAATTAGGCAGCAGCCTCGTCCCGAAGTATTTAAAACTGTCTACTTCTTCAAGTTGACAGCCATCGATCCCGAGGGGTGTCCACTCCTGGTCAGGGGAGCAGCTTGAAAACACTTTAGCCTTCCCTGGGTTTATGGATAAACTGACCGATTTAGCGACCTCGTTTACCCGTGACACCATTGACTGCAGATTCCCAAAACTTGAAGCAAGTAAGGCGATATCATCGACATAGTCAAGATCAGTCAGTCGATGTCCGGGTGCAAACTCAACACCGTCACCTTTGTGTGGGGCACTCCCGAGAGCCCAGGCAATAGCGTAGTTGAACAGAATGGACGACAGGATACAACCCTGTTGAACGCCAGACGAAATACCGAACGGTTGTGTAAGATTGTTGAGGACCGGGACTCTTGCAGTGACTGGAGTTGTTTGTAGTTGTCTGCTCAAACGGCTCGAGCCAGGTCCCGTAACGATGGCTGCTTCCGCCAACTTCGGAAGACGACGGCAAAATCGGCCAAGGATAACCGGAAGAAATATTGGGCTGAAACAGCGACCTCCATGGAACAGGCCTCGAACGTTGGTGACACTCGAAAACTCTCCCAACATATCCGCCAAGTTAGCGGTAAGCCCTCTACACTGCGTGATTCTGTTCGCGACGTGAACGGCGGCTTTATTGTTGACAACTCGGCCAAAGTCGAAAGCTGGCGTGGGCACTTCGAGCACCATCTCAACTTCGATACCTAGCCCACCATGTCCTTGTTCTCCTCTTCAGCGGAGATTGTTCCCTCTCCCACCTATGCAGTGCCATGCGACCCTCCGTCTGAAGGAGATGCTTTCGATGTCATACGAAAGCTACGCAACAGTAAGGCACCCGGAGAGGACGGTATACCCGCTGAAATCTTTAAGTCTTGTGTCGACACTCTGGCGCCCTGGCTCCATGAGGTGATTGAACGCGCGTGGAGAGACGAGGTTGTTCCTGATGACTGGAGCTTAGGCATCCTTGTACCTATACCCAAGAAGGGAGATAAGACAAGATGCGAGAACTACCGCGTCGTAGGCCTCATCGACGTTGCTGCGAAGACCTTTGATGTTGTCCTACTCAGGCGATTTCAGGCTGTGCGTGACTTAAGGACGAGGCCCAACCAAACCGGATTTCGTGCTGGACGTGGATGCGCAGACCAGATATTTGCCTTGAGGCGCATTCTCGAATTTAGTCATGGCTACCAACAACCGACGGCTGTCTGCTTCATTGACTTTGCCGCCGCGTTTGCTTTCGTTCATCGTGGGTCCCTGTGGCGGATAATGAAGCTAGATGGTGTACCGGCAAAAATCATCGCCATGATGAAGGCCTATTATCGCTCCACTACTTAAGGTTCAGAGTAGGGCTAGGGTTAAGATTAGGGCAACGGCTTGATTTTATATTAGGGTTATTGTTGAGGTTATAACAAGGGAATATTTTGCCCTTTCTGGAATTATGCGCGGGTCCGCTCTCATTACTTGGATGAAGCGTACCTGTTTCCATGTCCTGTTGAAGGGGGCCGCATAAGTCAGTCCCGTCGAATTCTTTGACATTGGAAAATGAAGTAAAGTCACGATCTCCTTACCCTGTCAGTTAAGATGTGGAATAGTAATTAGCGTGAAAAAGCCGACAGGCTATCCACTTACCGTACTGGTTGAAGTAGGGTTGGTTGGCGATCGTCCATAAGCCTGATATGAACATTCCAGTCCTTCTTGTCTTTGTCGGCAGTTATTCGGTGAGGGCCTGCGAGGGTGCTTGATCGGTCTCAAAGGCTCGACGGTGCCAACATGGTCTGTAGTCTAACTAGGCCTGTGCACAACCCCTCACACACAAATCCTCGATCGCCCCTGCATTACCTACAAGGCGTTTGAATAGACGTCCATTTATCAACCAGTCCGGGCTAGATCCCCTAGTTATTCACACCTGGGGCAAGAGTACTTACTTACTTGTACTTGATACGGCTGTGATCATGCCTGATCTAGCCGGCCTCGATGATGTCCCGAACTGTGCCTCTCCACGCGTGACGATCCGCGGCAGCAGATCTGGACAGGTCAATCCATACTCTTCGCCAACGACGTAGACCAAACAATGAAGGTCCAAGAACCATCTCCATGTCTTGACGAACTGTGTCGAGCCAGGTTTTGAACTGACACCCTCTTCGACGCTTCCAATGCGGCAACGGTGCCGGATCGAAGGCAGTAACACTGAGCTGTCAACTGGAAGAAGTAGACAGTTTTAAATATCTGGGGGCGAGGCTGCTGCCTAATGGACAGAGTAAGGAGGACATTGTCTCCCGAATCGATGCTGCCCGCGGGGTTTTCTCAAGCCCTCGGAAATGCCTATGGATTCGACGTGACCTCTCCATCGCCACTAAGATTCGCGTGTATCGTGCATCTGTCCGGTCTGTCCTTCTCTACGGTTGTGAATGCTGGGCTTTGCGTGTGGAGAACGAGCGAAAACTGGAGATATTTGATCATCACTGCTTGAGGATTATCCTTCGAGTGAAGTTAACCGACTTCGTCTCAAATGAGACAGTCCGCGCTCGCTGCGACAACATCGCAAGGATAACTCAGACCATCCAAGAAAGACGACTGAAGTGGTTCGGGCATGTTCTTCGTCGTCCACCTCTCAAGAGTACGGCTGCCCGACGACGGTTAATAAATCAGAACTAACCATTCCAGTTTCCGCTGTTATTGTTGGCATTCAACTCGTAGTGCTGGTCGATGTCGCCGCCGTCTTCAGAAGTAAATATATGGACACTTTCGGACCAATAAAACATATGACAAATTGAAACTCTTTCTCGTATGGGCTTGAGTTAGTCTGCAGGCTGAGTTCCACCTCGAAAACGATTTAACACCCTTTTTACAAGACAAAGTGCACTATGAAATCAGAAAACCCATTATAGTTGGACCGAAGGGACTGTTCCATGACAAAACCAATAAAAGCAACTTAGAAATAGCTAGCAAAATAATTATATGAGCTAGTTTTTACTCTACACACTTGTTAGGAGGATGAGCAATGGCGAGAACTGGCTTTCGAACGGAACTGTTTGCAAGTCCCTGCTGAAACCGAGAACCGAGCAGGCTGAACCAGTGACTACAAATACGGCAGGGTATTTTTGCCTGATGTATAGGAGCAGAAGGAAAATTTTCCCTCTAAAATACCAAATTTCCTATCCACATTGCAATAAATCAGAGGACGCCGTTCAAAAAACTACCAGTGATTTCACCAGGGGCGGATGGTTTCACCAGCTTTGATTGGCAGACTACTCAAGTATGAATCAAGTCAACCGTCACTTCCGAGGCTCACTTGCATATGAATAAAATGGATACAAAAATATGCACACTGTTAAAGAAATAGGCTTTTAATAAACAACCTCCAGTTGGGATTTGCCATTTTGTAACCAAAATGAATGCATATTCATGTAAACAGGTTCGTCGCCAGGGTAAGACGGACTTCCGCCAACAACTGAAAACTCAAAGTCAGCATACAAGGCATTTATTTCTTTGGTCATTTTGCCAGTACAGAAGACTATGATTAGGTGGACCAAGGTTTATTTGGAGCAAATACTGTAGAATAGAACAGTCTGTGGGCATTGCCTATAAGTAGGTGCGTAATCTCATGAAAAGTTAACCGAAATCCTGAAGTGCCTTTGTGATTAAAAAAGAATGTGAGATTACTTGTCGTGCAAAATAATGAACAAGATATTTCGCATATCAGAAGCCGGCTTTTGAACGAACTTCTTTTCGGTTGCTTGTGATAGCTATGCTTTGTAAAAAATGATTACTTAAATGGTATGAATTTCCTCCATTGCTTTTAGATATCCTTATAAATTCAGATAGATTCCACAGAAAACATGCACAAAAATATTCTTTTCTGGACTCATTTGGTAGCAAATTGGGCTTTGTTCAAATGTTATACTTGATGGAAGAATATCTCTCAGTTTCAAGAACCTTTTCGATTCTTGAAACATTTTAAACCCGACTCGCGGTTGCACTTACATTGAGGGTTTCCAACCTGCACGTTGTACATTTTTCCTGTAAGGAAAATCATGCATTCGTATATGCTGCTAAGAAAGCACCATAAAGGGCTCATAAAATTTTGTAATGGTCGTGAACCACGTTGCATACCTTGCAAGCAACATTAATAGAAGTACAGATACGATATCTTATAAGAAGATCTCTCACGGTATTCCAAATCTCATTAGTAGAATCTTTTCTAAAACTAAAAGTACACTTTCTTCGGGTAACAAACTTTAACGAAGACGCACTTCTCTACGAAATGAACACAACGAAGAATGTTTTTATGCATGTTTTCTATGAGGTATACTTTGATTTATAAGAGTGCTGAAAATCAATGAGCAAACTTTTAACAACTTATGCAGTCACCTTTTATCGAATGCGATTTTTGCAGACGGGCGAAAAGAAGCTCGTTCAGTAGCCGGCATCCTGATGTGACTAAAATACCCCTAAATAATACCGCATGATAATTATTATTACAACCTACCTAAGTAGTCTTTTCTTGTCAAAGACGCATTTTAGAACTTCGATGAACACTTTATGCGATACTACATATGCTGTATACAGTAGGTGGGCTAACTCATGAAATGTCAACCGAAATTCCGAAATGCGTTTTCGTTTCGAAAAGATTAATTAAATAGGAATGCAAAACTAATCATTATTCAGCATTATTCTATGATGATTCGGTAACCTCAGGATGCCGGCATTCAAAATAACTTCCCGGTTGCATGCGAAAACTATACTCTCTGAAGAATGACTACTTAAGTAGCGTGCGCTTTTCCCATCGGTTTTCGATGCCCTTAAAAGTGCAATTATATTTCCTGGAAAATATGCATAAAAATATTCATTCTTTTACTCATTCGGTAAAAGATTACGTCTTCTTCCAAAATTACACTCGAATGAATGGGATAATTCGGTTTAAAAGTTAATAATCGTGAGATTTTTTAATACCGCGAAATGGCCGTTCATAAAACGTCACGTCTCTACATTTACCAATGTGACTTGTAAGATTAACAATATGACTCAAATCCACTGCTAGGTTTTATGAACCCCATACGGTTTCCTCTTAATACCAAAGAGAAATGTATGGTTTTGCGTACGCGGAAAATATACGGCTTGTAGTTTGGAAACCCTGAATGCAAGTGTAACGACAGGTCGGGAATCGGGAAGGTTTTTAAAAGCCGAATTGTACCCTTCCTTTGAGTATCACATTGGAAGAAGACGTCATTTTCTGCCGAATGAGCAGGAGAATGAACATTTTTATACATGATTTCCATAAAATATATTTGAATTTTTAAGGGCATCGAAAATCAATGAGAAAAATGCATGCTACATAAGCAGGCGTTTTTTACAGAGCATAGTTTTTGTATGCAGTCAGAAAGAAGTTTGTTCAAAACCCGGCATCCTGCGGTAACTGAATTATTATAGAATTATGCTGCAGGATGATTATTTTCGGACCTCTACTTAAGTAATCTTTTCGAAACGAAAACGCATTTCGGAATTCCGGTTGACATTTCATGAGGTAGTCCACCTACTGTATGTATACATGGATGCACTCTCCTTGATTGGTATGAGGCTGAGGGAATAACCGGTAAATTGGGGAGCAGTGTGCCGACTACCTGACCTCAAATCATTTGAATACGGTATATTAACTGGCCAGCTGAGGGCAGCAGTACTGATTTCTCATCTGCCAGTTTCCATCTTTAGATGTAAACATTGCAGTAAACTGGGGCAGTTGGTGTGCATTTAAAGTTCCTGAACGGCTATTAAGATATCTTCATTTCAGGAAAGCGAGTTTGGTTGCGTTATCAAAACATCCTAAGCCGCTCGAACCTAATTTGGCGTAGAGAATTCAAATTTTGCATACATGTCCCTCTGGACGACAATACTTTCAGCCCTTTACGGCGTAGGCACCGTCCTAAACACCGCAGTTGCCATATAAAGGTTCTCTTCCGCCCTGATTTTTAAACAAGTTAAACGCTGGAAAAGTACAGGGCTTCCGTAAAAGTACAGTTGCCTTCTTTAAAGCCTGCCGCTTCTCCTGTTGCTGCTACTTGTGCGGCTACAACACGCACTCTCTTCAGGCAGAAGAAGCCATTAGTTTCCCGCAACAGTGCGCGCACCCACGCAGTAAAGCTAAGAGATAGAGGGGACAGTCCATGGAACTGCCGATAGAAGCGAACAGGCGAGTTCCAGGAAGCAGTTCGGAAGAAGATGCGATCATTCTCTACTAACCCTATTTTACGCGCCACCTCAGACCACCTCAATGTGCACCTACTCATTCACTTGCTCCTGCGGAGTAGGTTATATTTGTCGTACGAGTGGGCGCCTTT